TTTATTTGCGATTTCCTATTTAAATATCTATATATATTGTACGGACTCTTCTTTTGTTAAGCAAAAATTATCTGAATTAACAGTGGAAACAAACGGCACGAATGAAAAACTAAATTGATTATATCCAAATATCTTCACAAAATCTAGCATGAGAAATGTTAAGAGCTCATTTTGGCAAAAGAAATGTTAACAGCTCATAATTATTCTTAATATGCACAAATTCTTAATTTTTAAATTAAATTTGAAATTTGTGAGGATGCCAAAGGTCGTATAGCATTTTTTTTTATATCTCATACTTGTTAGGTAATTTTTTTATCAACTTTTCTTTTTCTATTACTAATTTTCATGTGTTTACGTTTGGCAGATTTTGGGTTTCACTCCTGCCAAGAATCTTTTCATTTTTCTTTTTATCACTTTAGTTTGCACCAAATTTTAAAAAAAGAAAAAAGAAAGAAAAAGAAAACTGAAAAGGAGGTCTCTTTGTCCAACAACATTGAAATCTCACAAAAAAAAGGTAAGAATATATTATATCATGTTTCATTTCATGTTAATGCTTATATTGTCTTTTCTATATAACTGGTCTGGACTATCAATTACGACATGGTTTACAATTTTAATATATACAATCATTTTGAGAATTTTATATTTATAAGATTACTTTTATTTTGCAATTTGCATCATGTAAGATAAGACTTAATTTGATGGTTGAAATTTGATGCCTGAAGAAAGAAATTTGTGCTTTAAATTTTGTCCAAAACAGCATTAAACATTTTCATTATAAATAATTGTAAATACTAAATTTTGTGTGTTTCTGATTGACAGATTTGTGTAATAGTCTTCTTATTGTTCTCTTCATTGGTTATTCTTCATCGATTTTTTTAAAGTAATATATCTTTATCTTGTTTCTTTTCATGTTATGTTGATATATTTGTGAGACTTTTAGGTTACAACTTTTACTAATGACCATAAAATACTTTTTGTTATTCTTATACAGCAACGTTCGTGTAATTTTATCAAAACTAAAATTGAATAATATTGGGAAACAAAGGAGAAGTGTGTAGCATAAAACTTGTGATCCCAAAAATAAAATATATAGAGGACTTTTTTATTACCCATGTATATAATTATCATTTTAAATAAAATATATAGTTTCTTATTGTTAATGGCATTATGATGTTTTTTATTCTTTTGTAACCTATGCATAAAGCATTTGTATCATGAAATAAAGTGAATGAGAAAAAAAGCCATTGTTTTCTCTATCTCTTATTTTCCTTTATACTTTCTAGTTTTTTTTTTTATTTCTTCTCATTTTATAACATAGCTTGAATTTAAATATTATTTTAATACTTGTGAGACCCACATCAATAATTCACCTCTTCTTCTGGGCCAAAAACCAAAAAAAAAAAATACCTCTTCTTACTATCAGGATAAGACATGACATTTATCTTCCAAGTTGGGCCCAAGCTTGGCCCTAAAAGATTTTCACGCTTTATAAATTAAATTTACCATTGAAACCTTACTTTTTTGGAATTTAAGCGCTAAATATTCTGGGACATTTTATAAAATGTTTTGCCCTCCATACTTCATTTAATTGTTTGCCTCATAAAATAATTTCCATAAAAGTTTTGGGCCAAATCAATACTTTGATTATTTTCTAACTATTTTTTCTTGAATTATTTAAGAAAATAGGACCTTAATTCTCATGTAAATTAGTTTTAAAATCATGTAAGCTATTTTTGGAAAAATAGACCTCTTCCATAATATATCCAAATCCTCAAATAATGTTTTATGATGTTCCCCAATTTTCAAGACTTTGAATAATTTTATAAATGATTTCTTCATTTTTTTTAAAAATTTCATCCAAAAATAGGTTTTTTGGCCAATAATTCATTTTTTAGGAAATTTAATTTTGAATAATAACTCTAAACCTTAAATATGTCTTAGACAAGCTCTTTTATACTTTTTTCAGATTTTCTTGTATAGAATGAATAATATATACTTTATTATATATATTTTGCTAATGTATGTTATATATATAAGGCCGTTTTCTTTGCCCTCATAGCTAGATCTCATTCTATATATTACATGTTCAACCATAAAATTTAGCTCAAACAATCATGACAATTAATCACACAAACAAACAACCAACACAATATTAATATCCAAGTCAGTAACTGTGCTACTTTTTCCTTTGGTACGAGCTTTTCATATGAAAATTTGATAAATACACATTATGATTTTTTTTGGCATAGTTTTAATTATAAGAGATGCATATTTCCTTTTAATCCCAAATGATATTATGTGAAGGAATTAATTTTTAACCACTTTCATCTCAGACTTGTTATATATTTTCTATCAATAATATTTCTCATATAATGAATTCTTTTGCATATTTTTGGTTCGCAGGATTTGACTTCTTGTATTAATTCAGGGGACTAAAATTTCTCAAAAAAAAAAGGTAAGGATATAATCTAATTTGCTAGTGTTTCTCTTTATTATTTTTATATCATCTTTATGTTTCTATTGTTATTTTCCTTACGCTTTCGAGAGAGAGAGAGAGAGATATATATATATATATATATATCAATTCTACAGTTAAAATTAATCATATTTTTAGCATTTTGATGATGACTTCTATTACGAAGTATGAAGTGTGTAATATATCCAACACACCAAAAGAACAAAAGTAAATGTGATATTCTAAAACTCGTTAAACTGTTGGCGGGGGCCTCTTGTCCTAGTTTTACTTGGACTTTTTTCTTTCACCCTGCATTACTTCTCTTCTTGCTGAAATATGGGGAAGGGCAACCTTTAGGGCCTGTTTCGATTGAAGAGGGGGTGGGGGAGGGTGGAAGAGGTTTTAACTGATGGAATATGAAAAAATAATTATAATTTTATTATATTTTTAGGATATTTGATTTATTTGGATTTATTATCATTTTAGGATTTATTTATATTTATTAGTAGTTCAGTTTTTATTATTAGGATTAGTTGTTGTTGTTGTTATTGCTTTAGTATAATTAGATTTAAGGTTTTCATTCTATGGCATACTTGATTATTGAATGATGTTGCAGTTATCGTTTTCTCTCGGCTTGTTTCCTCTTCTCTATTCTCTATTTTCCCTTCTTTGCTAATTCTAATATCTTCCTTTCCTCTTCCCTATTCTCGTTTTATATCATCAACTTACCATGTTTGGTTTGATTAAAGAGGAGGAGGGAGGAGTATTTAATAATCTTTGTTTAATTCAAGAGAAGAAGGAGATGGATAGTAATAATCAATTTATCATTTTACCCTCACATATTAATTTTTATTTTTATTTATATATTACATAAATTAATTTATACATTAATTCAAATTATATAATTTAATAAAAATGCAATATTGTTATATTAATATGTGTATTAAACAATTGGTACAATAAATTTTTATTCTAATTAGCATAACAATATATTTCAAATAATCAAATTAGCAAATTTACTTTGTTTTAAAAAAATGAAATTTTTGTTCTCCTTTGGCTATGCTTTTTCTTCGTGCTTTAAAACATATTTGAGTTAATAAAATAATATTTTTGTAAAAACTAATTAATTTATAATAAGATAATTTTTCACTGTAATAATATTTTTTATTTTAAATTAATTTTTTATTATAATATATTTTTAATTATAATAACATATATTTATTTAGAGTAATGTATTTTTATTTGAAATTATAGTAATATATTTTTTTATGTGTATTAATCAAATATATAAAAAAGTACAAGGGTAAAATGGTCAAAAATTTAGTTTCCCTCCAAAAAACTTCAATTTGAAGGGGAGCTAAAATAGGAAAAGTGAGGGAGGAGAGGGGGAATTTTTGCTCCTCTCTCCTCTAACATTTCTAACCAAATGAGGGGAGGCGCTATTTTTCCCCAACCTCCCCACCCTCCCCTCCCCTCCAACCAAACAAACCCTTAGAGATGGTTCCCTCCAACCAAACAGGCTTTTAGAGATGGCTAGGATCGGGCTACTTTTAGTAGGCGTGCATTCTCATTAGTGTCGAAATTGATTCATTATGCTACATGTATGAGGAATCTCATGCACAATTCGGGTGTTGTTGGAATTGTCTTTCCCAGAGGTAGCAAAAAAAACTCAATCAAAGCAATTAGTAAGAGGCGGGGACTGATCTACAAAAGCAAATGAGAAGTGAAGAGAGACTAGAGCTAAAACCTGGAGTAACAGTAGAGTGATCTAAAGTGAATGAGCAATGAAAACAATATATATTATTGTCCCAGAATTCTTTTGGCTTATCCACGAAGGCACCATTGGCGAGTTTCATAAGTAGATCAGAGGTGTATAACCATAGAGGATTATTTCCCAAATTTCGAATTTCGTCCCTTGATGAATATTTCCATCTTTTTCCTTCTCTTCCTAAAGTTGAAGCCTTAGAAGATTGGTGTCGAGAAAGATCAAAGGATGATTTATTCATGCCATTTTGAAGAAGTTTCTCAGATGATGGTTATGAAAGGGTTTTGCTAGGTATGACACACAATAATTAAGTCAAAAATATTGGTGGTTACTAATAGGATTGGCATGATTTAGGTACAACACGAGATGTCAAAGATTGGGGGGCCGTTTGCCTGTTCTAATGAAAACTTTTGTCTCTCATTTCTTCTATATCACATGGTTCCCCAATCTCACTGTCCATTAAGCCATTCCTTCAAATAGCAAATTTTAATGTAGTCTAGGTGGCCTCCGATTTGAAACCACTATCCAAATCCAGCTTCAAAATGCATTAGTTGAGTCATAATAATGTATGACTTATAGTGAATTTCTTTCATGGTTCAACTTCATGTATTTTACTTTCTAAGATGATTACACTTAAGTACCAAATTAGTATACATTTTGCTCCTCTTTTTAGTTAGTCTCCTTCATTTTTCATCTTATTATAATCATTATGTGGGTATTTCATAACTTAAATCAAGATAGAAAGATAGAATAACATTAACTTTATTTCCCTGTTAGATGGAGAGCATCCCTGCTGAACTTGTAAAGAACGAAACCCAAAGTTTAGTGAACTTGGTGGAAAATGAAGCTCAATATATATGTTGCTTCAATAGTTATGTTCAAGAGTATGAGCAGGCAAAGGGAAGATTGAAAGCAAAACTCGAAGATGTAAGGAGAATAATTAATCAAGCTAGAGGTGTTTCTCTTGTCACATCTGTAGCACTACAATGGACACGTGAAGCTGAAGAACTCATTGATATTGACACTAAGAAAGAGAAATGCTTTAATGATTTGTGTCTTAATTGCTGGCCTCAATATCAGAAAGGTAGAGACTTGGCGAAGAGGACTCTAGATATTGACAGACTTCTAAAGAGATGTAACTTTGATATAGTGGCAGGTCTAACTGATCTTCTAGGTATAAAATACCATTGCTTACCAAATTTCAGGCATTTTGACAGCAGAAAGTCAATATTTAAAGAACTTCAAAAGGCACTAGAAGATGAAGAAAACAATATGATTGGACTAGAAGGCTTAGGGGGAACAGGCAAAACTTCAATGGCAACTAAAGTGAGTGCTGAATTGGAAGGATCCACATTCAGCAAAGTCATCTTTCTTGTTGTCTCTAAGCTTCCAGATTTGAAACATCTTCAAGGTGAAATTGCTGGACGTTTGGATTTGAAATCAGAGGATGGAGAGTACCACGAAAAAATATTGACCAAAATCAAAGCATTAAAAGAGAAACTTCTTATAGTACTAGATGATGTGTGGATGGAGTTTGATCTCAGGAAAGAGTTGGGGATTCCTCCTCCCCACTTGCACAAGGGTTGCACTATATTGATAACCACCCAAAGCAAAGAGATTTGTACAAAAATGGATTGTCAAAGGATCATTCATCTACAAGCATTGACTGATAAGGAAGCATTGCAACTTTTCCTCGAGCATGCTAATAGCTCCTCTACTTCAGAGAATCTGGCGCAAAAAATTGTGAAGCATTGCCATGGAGTACTAGTTGTAATTGTAGCTGTAGCAAGATCATTAAAAGATCGACCTTTTAAAGTTTGGACGGAAGCCTTGAGGAACTTGCAAAGTGGTGAGTCAATATTCAATGTTCGTGATGAAGATTTGAAGAAGGTCTATGAAGGTTTAAAGTTAAGCTATGATAATTTGAGAAATGAAAAAGCCAAAAAGCTCCTATTGATATCTTCTCTATTCCCCGAAGATTTTAATATTCCCATGGAGTTTTTAATTAGAATTGGTGTAGGAATGGGCCCTTTTGGTAAGGAAGTTGATGACTACAATAAAAGAAAAAGAAAAGCACTTGATGCTGTAGTGGAACTCCTAGGTTCTTCTTTATTGTTGAATGCTGAGAGGGAATGTGTAAAGATGCATGATTTAGTTCATGAAGTAGCCTTATTGATAGGACAAGAAGATATTCAATCCATCATTAAATCTGAACTATCTGTAAAAAAAGGGTTGCAATGTTTATATTGGAAAAATGATGATTTTTCGAGACCTTTTGATAGTCAAAACCTTGAGGTATTATTTCTAGTTCGAGAAGATCAAAAGGATTTGGAAGTCCCTGATACATTCTTTACAGAGATGACAAAGCTCAAAGTTTTGTTTTTACAAAATAAAGCTTGGCATCGAATTTCAGCTCCATCACTGTTTCCATTAATTCAGTTATTACAAGATATTCGAACTCTCAGGATAAAGAATTTTAATTTATATAGCAACATCTCTATGTTGGGAGGGTTATCAAATCTTGAGACATTTTGGTTGGATGATTGTTCAATCATTAAACCTGAAAAAAAATTTGAGCTACAGAAGTTGAGATTCTTAAGGATAGAAAATGTGAAAATTGTGACAGTAATATGAATAACCCTTTTGAATTGATTGAAGCATGCCCAAAGCCAGAGGAGTTGGTTTTTTGGAGTAATGATTATGTCAAGCAGGAAGAAGATACAATTTCTCAAAAAGTATCTCTTCCTTCCTTACAAATATATCAAATATCTTCTAAGGGCAACTTTTTGGATTATTTTAAGCAATGTGGTTCCCTATCAAGATGCTTTCAGCCAGGTAGTTTAACGCATTTAATCTCTGAGGCAACATTTAGGCAACTTGCAAGAACAGTTGAGCTTCTTAGCTTAAGTGGGTATGGAAAACAGAAAAATCTTATCCCTGACATTGTTCCAGTAGATGACACAGGTATGACTGACTTGATCATTCTTCAATTGGATTCTTGGCCTGACATGCAATGTCTCATTGATGGTGTGAACAATCGCTTTGACGTGAATAATGCCTTTTCCAATTTAGTTGGACTATATCTTTCTGAAATGGGACTAAGCAATATATTATTTAATGGCCACTATAACCTGTCTCATCTGAAGACCTTGAAACTGAAGGAGTGTCGAAAGCTGACATCAATTTTCCTCCCATCCACTGCTCAAAGCCTTTTGCAGTTAGAAGAGTTGAACATTGAGAGATGTGATGCATTGGAATGCATTGTAGAAGATCAAAGTTCAAGAGGGGAAATAGCTGGTGGTGATGGTGACAATGATCAAAAGAGCTACGACACTCTGTTTCCAAAGTTTAAAATTCTTAAAATTGATAGTTGTGACAATTTAGAAATAATATTGCCAATCCTTCACGGTGGATGGCCTCTGGAAAGAATAAGCATACGGTGGTGCAAGAAGTTGAAATATATATTTGATAAGTTCCAAGAGGTCAATCTTATGCTCCCCTCTCTCGAAAGAATGGGACTTTTTGGCCTACCAAGTTTGGTTGGTTTTTTTAGGGAGTATGAAAAATCCATCTTTTCATCACTGCAACAGCCAGCACCCATGCCTCCAAGCACCAAGACACGTTCTTTTTCTTGGGCTCAAGTATGTTGTTTTAAATCAAAGGCGACAAGTGAAGAGGCTGTTGATGCTGTTTCTACAGAGAGATTGCTTGATGCTGTTTTAAATTGCTTTGACGTGAAGAATGCCTTTTCCAATTTAGTTGGACTATATCTTTCTAAAATGGAACTAAGCAATATATTATTTAATGGCCACTATAACCTGTCTCATCTGAAGACCTTGAATTTGGACGAGTGTCCAAACCTGACGTCAATTTTTCTCCCATCCACTGCTCAAGGTCTTTTGCAGTTAGAAGAGTTGAACATTGAGGGATGTGATGCATTGGAATGCATTGTAGAAGATAAGAGCTCAAGCGGGGAAATAGCTGGTGGTGATGGTGACAATGATCAAAAGCGCTACGACACTCTGTTTCCAAAGTTTAAAATTCTTGAAATTTATAGTTGTGACAATTTAGAAATAATATTGCCAATCCTTCATGGTGGATGGCCTCTGGAAAGAATAAGCATACGGTGGTGCAAGAAGTTGAAATATATATTTGATAAGTTCCAAGAGGTCAATCTTATGCTCCCCTCTCTCGAAAGAATGGAACTTTTTGGCCTACCAAGTTTGGTTGGTTTTTTCAGGGAGTATGAAAAATCCATCTCTTCACTGCAACAGCCAGCACCCATGCCTCCAAGCACCAAGACACGTTCTTTTTCTTGGGCTCAAGTATGTTGTTTTAAATCAAAGGCGACACGTGAAGAGGCTGTTGATGCTGTTTCTACAGAGAGATTGCTTGATGAAGGAATCCCACAGGTATTCTTAGCTCGCTTCCCTATTTATGTTCAGTTTTTTTTTTTTAACATTCACGTTTCCCTCTCTTGTGAATTATACATTGTTAATTATTTCGAAAAGAAAAATGATTTACAATCAAATAAAATAAGGTATGAGTGTTAAAAATGTTTACCGTGATCCTTGGTATTATACATTGTTTAAAATTGATTTGAACTACTTGTTTTTGCATGACTGACTGAATCTGTAACAAGTTTTGTAAATACATCTTGTTATAACAATTGTTCCTGGGCAAAAATACACATACATAAACATATTCATGTGCATGCACGCATGCCTTTTATTGCAAGAAATATAGTTAACAATGCTCAACACATAAAAGTTTACGGTATCGCTTCAATTCTTATTTTAATAGTTTCAATATTCATATTTAAATTTTTAAATACTTAACTTTGATTTGCTTTGCTAGTCAGCTTTGATGTTTTCAACACTCATATTTGATTTTTTTCGAAGTAGGGTAAACATTAAACATGAGTATTAAATAGATAAAAGTATTGAAAACATTGAAAATAGAAGTATTAAAAAAATCAAAGCAGAGTAATGAAAAAATCAATTCAGCGAAACTTTTGATTTCAACCAAGAACTTTGCCCGTCCTTGATATTTTCGAAATTCACTGTCCTTGACATAATTAAGATTTGCAGAAGATCCTTAAATGCCATTTTTACAAAACATTAATTTTGATACAAGAAAGACAATTATTATGGATCTTCTAATGGGCTAAACCTTTTGTATTAATTGTTTGTTTACTAATATTACAGAAAAAATTATTCCAAAATTTATATATTACAAAAACTGAAGATATTAATCCGGCAAAAAAAAACTGAAAACATTAGTATTACAATTAGAGGTCTAATAAAATTCAATTTTTGGAATAAGGTCTGCAGCTATTAAAATACCCTACGTCTTCTAATGTGCTTATAAGATGAAGACATGTAATATAGTTATTTAAACTTAAGATGTAATTTGATTATAGTATGAATAAGATAACTAGCACAGTTTTTTAAAATGGAAAATTAAGCTAAATTTTATTTCAAATTAATCTAGCTAGTATATTTTATTTTGTATATTACCTTAACTGAAACCTCTTATGTATTATTGCATGATGATATTTTAACGATTTATGGCTTGTAGGAATTAGACGCATTTGGAAGCATTTATCCAAGGTCCATTGATTGTCAGGGTTCTCAGAGTTTACGAGACCTTTCAATGAATTTTTGATTCGTTGGCATACAAAACAACAGGAACCAAAGGTATAACTCTGTTCAACTTCTCTTACTAATCCTAATATATTCCCCCAAATGATAAGTTATGTTTTAATACTATTTCTCACTACATTCATTTTTGTTCTCTTAAAAGAAGCAGAAAATAATAATATTACGCCCCTAAATCTCTATTTTCATAAACTATAAGGGATTTTTTGTGGTTATTTTCGTACAGACATGTCTGCAAAGAGCACTTATATTTAAAATTCAAATGTATTTGTTGCCTCTTAATTTTTATTTAATGGTTTCACTCACCCTAAATTCTACTATAATTTTGTTCAAATTGGGCTACGCATTTTAAAGTTCTTTTTTTTAAAAAAAATAATTTGAAATTGATATATCTTGTACATGGAATTCGTAGGCAATTGAGATGTGGAGGCAAACTTTGAAAACTCTTGAAATTGGATTCTCTACAATAAAAGAAATTGTTGATTTGACACATGTGGGCAAAGAGAAAAATGGGGACGGACTTGAGCCATTGACGTCAAGCTTACAAAAGTTGGAGTTGCAACATCTAAGTGAGTTGGTGAATATATGTGTGGGGTCTAAACATATCATATGCTTCCCTTGTCTTCAAGCGCTACGCATTCAGGGATGCGGAAAGCTCAAAGTTATCTTCTCCACATCTGTGGTGCGAAGCCTACCAATGTTGAAAGAACTATGTATACTCTCATGTGAAGAATTAGTTAACATTGTTGAAGAGGATAATGGAACAAATGATGATGATCATTTGCGTCATGAACCATGCTTTCCTAACTTAGAACAAGTCTCTGTTTGGCATTGTGGCAAATTGAAGTACCTGTTTTCTATCAGAAGACAAGATGAGATGAAAGAGATGGTCATGAAGGATGTGCTTCCACAACTAAGTCAATTGGTACTAGGCTTCCTTCCCAAACTTGTTAGTATCTGCCATGGGATTGATTTTCAAACTTTGAAAGAAAATGATAACACGAGAGTGATTGGTTGTCCCGACTTTTCTTTTTATGGTATGTATTTAGAAAAGTAATTTGTTCTTTAGAATTGAAAATTATTATGAGTTTTATTATAACAATGACAATCTCTTAATCTCAGAAACTTCAACTACCCATTTTCAAACAAGCTCTGAAACAACATATTCTCAAGTTGAAGAAAAAGCAGAGGAGAAGCTTTCACCTCATTTGAGTACCGAACAATCTTTAAATACGGGAGAAGCAACACAACAACCCCTCACAAAGGTATGATTCTGATTGCTAATGGCATCATTTTACTGCTTCTTCAATGGTCCCGCATCAATGATTATATGCATGCTTGATTGTCTTCAATTTGTAGCAATGGTCTGGAAATTCTGTCCCTTTTATGAGAAAAACAGAGTTTGAAGTTTATATTTAAAATGCCAACAATATACCCTCACGCGAGCACACACCGGAGAGCGTGTGTCTCTTCCAATTGCTTAATAAATTGACATAAACTTAAAAAAAAAAAAAAAAAAAACAGACCATGTAGTTTTGGACAGGGCATTGAAGAAGCAATACATTCCCCTGTCATAAGCTTGTTATTTTAAAAAGGGAAAATTTCACTGTAGGACCGCAGAAGACAATTAATTTCAAAGAGCCCCCAAAACTTTCTGAAACTTCACTGCAGGACCAAGGGGCAAACTGATATTAATTCCACAAAGAAAATGACGCTATTGCCCCTCATAATACTTATTGCAGGGTGACATGTAAATGGACTAATTTCAGTTGTAAATAAAGGTATGTATGTTGCAAATTGACTAGTCCCACTTGCAAATGGGTTCTCTCACACTTATTCACTCACAAGCACCTTTTTCAGGTGAATGAGGTGATATGTAAATGGACTAATTCTAATTGTAAATAAATGTATGTATGTTGCAAATTGACTAATTCACTTGCAAATGGGCGCTCCCACACTTGTTTACTCACGGAGACTTTTTCAGGTGAACGAAGTGACATGTAAATGGACTAATTCTAGTTGTAAATAAATATATGTATGTTGCAAATTGTCTAGTCTCACTTGCAAATGGGTTGTCCCACACTTGTTCACTCAGACACATTCTTCAGGTGAAGAAGGTAATATGTAAATGGACTAATTTTAATTGTAAATATATTTATGCATGTTGTAAATTATCTAACCTCACTTGCAAATGGGTTCTCCCATACTTGTTCACATGAGGGGCAATAGGGTCATTTTCTTTGTGGAATTAATATCAGTTTGCCCCCTTGGTCCTGCAGTGAAATTTCAGAAAGTTTTGGGGGCTCTTTGAAATTAATTGTCTTCTGCGGTCCTACAGTGAAATTTGCCCTTTTAAAAATACCAAGAGACATCATCATTATCATTAGATTTTTTTTTTTGGGTTACATCAATTGATTCTTATTTTATAAGGTGATAACCTTTAAGATTTATTTTAACCTTATTAAAGAGTGGATTGGAAATTTGAAATAAAAAATTAATAAATAATAATATTTCTTTTAGTAAAGGAAACAAACAAAGTTACTGTCAAAACTTATTGTAGGGTCACCAATTAAATTAAGAATATGACCCCTTAGAGTCCCCAAAAAACTTCACCCAAAAAAAATAAATAATCCAAAGAAACAAAAATTAGAAACCTTTTCCCTAAAAACTTTAGGTTCTATCACCTATATTATTGGGATGAGATTTTCTGAAATACTTTGAAAATTGATACCCAATTCAATATAGCTCCAAAAATAGTAGTTCAAAGCTCTAATTTTAGCTCGTGAAAAGCCTTTCGCTCTAACTAATTCTTAACTCTTCCCCCATACCATACTATATTTGAAATCATTGGAGTCTTTAAATTAATTAATGTTCATCTTCAGATCTCCCTCAAGTATGCTGGCCGAACAAGGCGTTACTAAATTAAAATTAATTATGGTACAGATTAGCTCCTCCACTGAGGTCTCTGCTAAGCTTATTATCATATTCGAATTTAGCAAAAACTTAACTTCCTCTCACTAAAAATATGTTGTCCAAAACAGGGCCTAGGAGAAAAGCTTATAAAATCTAATCCCTTTTGTTGCCAATCACTTTAAAAGGCCCACCAAACACAAGCTTTTAGACATGCCTTTGGTATAGTTTGGGAATGTATTGCTCCATGTCATCATATATCAAAACAGTAGCATTTAAATCTCTCTGAGCCACAAAATTTTTAATTCAATAAACATCTAAACGGTGCTGTCCAAAGAGGCGATAAGAATTAAAGTTCACATTTTAAAATTTTCCAGATTCATAATCTCCTTTTTTAAATACGCTGAGGTGTTTAGACTTCAGATTCAACCAAACCTAATTCTCTTTTCCAATTAATTTGACCGAAGAAGGGAGGAGAATAAAACTTGCTTTCAATTCTTACTTGAAGCCTTTAGCTGTACACTATATTTTAGTTTCCACTTAAATTCTTTAATTTCTTTAAATTCTCACCCGAGATAGGCCTTTTGACCAGTAGTTCATATTTGAGACATTTAAATGTTACATAATATTTGTAAGACTCAAATATGCTTTGGAAATCTCTTTTATACATTTTGACACTTCTCTTTGATTCTCCCTATTCCAACTGCTTAAATATAAATTTAGTACATAATTAAACATTATAACAGTGGCAAAAATTCAGCGTTTCAATTCCAGATTTCAGATCCCATAGGAGAATTCAAATATTACGCTCGTGAAACAGAAACTCTAAATACAAAAATCCACTTCTTCTCACACAAAATCAACATGCATGGAATAAAATCAACTCGAAATCTTTAATCCATCTCCTAAGTGTGATTTAAACCGCTCATCCATATTGCAAGCTTACCTCATGAGCTTCTCATTTTGGCACTTTCCGTTTTAGGCTTGATATAATGAAATTGCCGCTGTGCCCATCACTATCAGCGCTAAATTTTTCTAATAAATTTTAAAAATTAATCTGGGACACATTTTATGAAGATTTATTTTAGTTTCTCTGGCTACAAAAGTAATTTTCTTTCCTCAAATTTTTATGCTGAACATTAGTCTCGAACTATTTGTAATTCAATTTTTGGAAAAATAGACCCTTATTATACATAAATTAGTTTTACAATTATTAAGTCATTTTTGAAAAATATAAGCCTCCTCATAATATTTCTAAATTCGCAAAACAATATTTCATAATATTTTTCACAATAGTCCTAGTCCTTGAATAATTTTAATAATTATTTTTCTTTTTGTTTCCTTAAATTCTGATACGAAATAGGCTTTTTGACTGATATTTTGACACATTTAAATTTTAAATAGAGACAAAGTATTCATTTAATCCTTTAAATTTATACATAATTTTAATTTAACCCCTTAATTTTAAAAAGTATACTTTTAATTCTTTAATCCTAAAATTGTTAACAAAAAATAATGGCATTGAGATCTTAAATGTTGATAAAAGAATTCTCAAATGTTAACAACTTAACATATTAATTTTAAAAATAACCATGATTGTTACCAAAAATTATCATACAAGCCTAATGATTTTTCGGTCAAAAGACAAAATATACTTTTTAAAGTTAAGAGATTACATTGAAACATTGTATAAAATTAAAAGATCAAATATATACTTTAAATTTTAAATAATGTCCCCAAACCTCAAATATGCTTTGAAAATCTTTTCTCTACTTTTGGAAGCTTCTCTCTAATTTTTGGACATTTTTTCATAGTTATAATTTTGATCTATATTTTCTCTTATTTACAGTTTTGCTCTTAAATTCACTATATTTTTAAACTTTTAGGTCAACTTAACTTGTTTAATCAGTATTCAAAATTCAAATGTTACAATTACTGCTAGATATTAGCTAATAAATTAATTCTTTTCCATGGACAATAATTAGAACCGATTTAAGAAAGGTATCACCGAAACTGGGATTAGTTGTCCTTTAGTTATAGATTTTTATTCTTTATTTATGTCTCTATTATACAATAATGTTCTTTTTGTGCTTTAAAATTGTCATATGAACCCAATTGTGTTTTCTTTTGTATAAAAAAAAATTATTTGCTAGAAGGAAAACATATAATTTGAAGGGGATATTTAAAATGCCAACTATAATCTCTAATACCCATAAATATAGTTAGTTAAAGCGCGCGTGCGTGCGTGAGTTTTTGATGCTTTTGACATGAACGAAGTGAAGTTTTGCTTGAAGTACCGGCTATGCTAAATAATGAACTAGAAGGGAATCCAACATTTTATACTTATTTTTTTTTAATCTTGTACTGTTTATGACCCAACAAAGAAAACTATTGAAGCGGGTATAACATTAAAATTGCGAAAAAAATGGCAATTTTATCATTGGACTCAAAATTTAAGACTTATTTCTTAGCCAATCTCTGTAAAGCTTCTTTTTATATATTAGGTTGTTGGTTAGAGTACAAAGAAAACAACTACACTAATTTATCATCTGTTTTTTTTTTTTTTATATGGCCGTTGGTTTCTAATAGGAGGCACCAACTCATACAAGTCCCAACCTCAATGTTCTTCCTACAAGGGACAATACTTATGCAAGTGCCAAAAGTTTTGAAGAGAATGAAGAGGAAGAAGAAGGTAAAATATTGATTTGTTAGTTTTGTAGAAAATACTAGCTATTTATTTTGGGTTTTACAGAGAGTTTGATAACATCTCGACATACTCGAAGTGGCATAAAGTCTAGCAGTCCTTTACCAAAGGAGAAGCCTAAAACCTCTAATGATGGTACTTAATGCTTTCTTTAAACAAGGTATTTCATCCTTTGGTTTGATATAATAATCCTTTTTTCATAGATGACCTAGCTATGCCACCTGTAACAATTATTTCAAGCGAGCAAGCTTCGGAGGCAATCTTGCCATTGAGTCCTATGTCAACAAAAGCTTCAACAAGCAGTGATCAAACACTTTCATCCGTTCTCTCCAAGCCTTCCAATGGTGAGTTTCTGTTGTGATCTTATAGTGACATTTCATTCAAGTTTTATTCATATATAGCATAAGCAAATCTTGTCGCAAGGAGTGTCACTGACCTTAAGGAAGACTCTAGTCTCTACCTTGGTGATTCTACACATTATACATCTTTATTTGCTTTCCAATTATATTTTGGATTGTTTTCATTCCAACATTATTCCATTAATTTAGGAAGAAATATTCAAAATGATGTTGAAACCACTAACCAGTAAACTCCTAATGTTGTAGATGATGCTCGAGTTTCTGACAAATCTCTTGGCCATGCCATTGTCTCAAGTGGAAGTGATAATTTAAGAGTTGACCTAGATAACCTAACACATAAAAGGAAGAAGACTATTATTTAAATATATTTACACTCACACATGAAAAGTACATCATGTCAATTTTAATATAAAAAACTAGAAAAATCTTCCATAGTACATGATTGTTCCAAATTTTCTTTTTTATGCTATGCATTCAGAGAAGTTAGTCATTAATCCAAATTGAAAATTATTATGTGTCTGCAGAAGCTACAACTACTCAGCTTTCTGATCACTCCCAAAATCAAGATTCTGAAGTTAGGGAAGAGGCAGAGCATAATCTTTCTCCCCATTCAAATGGAAGACAAGCCATGGAACCACAACAATCCACAATTGGTTCCTTAAATTTCACAATAGTATATCTCATTTCAGTGGCTTATATATGCACATATATTATTTTTGTTAATGGCATTTTATTACTTTCATTTGTCACTAACATGATTATATCCACAAGCTTTACTTAATCGTATGCTGCCATTCACTGCTCGAATGAGCACATTCATTTTCTTTCTTTGTTTCAAAGTTATCTTGAAGCAAAACATCATTTCTTTTACCATAAATGTCATAAGAAAATCACTATGTCTTACCTTATCTCTTTATTTATTTGTTTGTTTTATGTCTATTTGGGTTGTTGATCAAGAAGATTACTATAAAGTTAAACATATCCTTTTTCAGGTAGAACACTAAACAATAGGTAAACGACAAATATTTCTTTTTAATCATTAATAGGTCTATGACAACATATTACTAGATGACATGTAAATACCATAACATATTGATATGTAAGTAGGACCTATCAGTAATTAAATTCTTTAGTTGGAATTTCTTCATCTTTTCCCATTATATTTATTTGAGCTGTTGGTCAAAATAACCATAAAAAACTAGTTTAAAACAGCATTTCTTCCTAAGAATGGAAGTAAATGAAGCTACTACAAAATGCAAACTACTTCTTTTCTTTTTTCGCAGAATGACAAAGAAGAGAATCCAAGTGTTCTGAATAGAACTAATTCACAAAAGGCATCTTTAAAAGTGAGATTATTATCCTTTACCTGTAAATTATTATTCTTTATCCATGCTATATGTGGTTCAAACTTTTGGCTTTTATTTATCCTTCACACAGGTTGAGCTGGGGGCCAAAGAGAAGAAAGAAACAATCATGACGGAACCACAATCACGACAAGAAACAATAGTACATGATATACAATCTCATGAGAAAGAGGAAGAGGGAAGAGAAGGTAAAATACTACCCTTTGTAGTCTTAAATGTAGGAGTTTAATAACTAATTCATATATATATTAAGAAAAATAGTTAAGTTAATTATTTGTAAAGAAATTAATCATTTATATAAAAAATTACCCTTGTTGATTGTAACATAAGTAGCCAAGGTAGTTTGTGAGAAAAATAACAAATGTTTAAAACATATAGAAGATTGAAGTTTTATATTTAAAATTAAAACAATTTCCTAAATTAACTCCAAAGCCAAAAGGAGTAGCATCTTGTCTCGTATGTAAATATATTATCGATTGCTTATTTTTGGCTTCACAAGTGGCTTGATAACTTTACCACATCATCAAAGCGAGGTAAAAGTAAAGAGATCTTTATTGAAGGAGAAGCCTGAGAGTTCCGTTCATGATGGGACAAAGTCAAATGTTGTTGAGGATACAAAGTTGTCATTGTCACCATTTTCTATACCTATAGAGAAGATGCCTTCTCTTTTGGAAGCCAATAATCAAGCTTCGACTATTTCTGGAGTACAAGAAATAGTCGATATGATGAAGTTGGAGGGTTTTGAACATTTAATATTTGCAAAGGCACTTGAGACTCACCCACAACTTCGGCTCTCTACAAAAGATCGAAGCGCTCGAGTGTTACACATGTCCTACAGGGTATTGCTTGATATCTTGAACATTCTAACCACCAGGACTCCTTTCACTATCACCGAGGCAGACAAGAGGATGCTAGCTGAGCATTTGAAGGATGCTTATCTTTTGGGTTTTGACAAGGATTGGATTGAGTCTATAAAGAATAAGGTTTTTTATGGTGAGATATGTGAAGTTGATAGCATCCAAAATGTTCTAGAGGGTTTAGACAATGATCTGAAGAGCAATGAGGCAATGCTTAAAGCCATTTGTCATGAGGAAGTTGAGGCTGCAAGAGTGGCACAAGTGGCTCAACAAGAGCATGCCAATGTTATGGCTCGTCATGCTTATCTTTTAAAGGAACGTCAAGATATTATAGAACGAAGGGAACAATGTTGGGAGATAATTGCTGCTAAATATAGGCCTTTTGGATTTTAGCCACTATTTGTGTTCTTCATGTTCTGTTTTATTTTCATGAAAGACTGATTACTGCTATTACTGATATAGACCATGAAACGCATAAGAATTAGGTGTAGTTCAAGTCTGGGTTTTTCTCCAGTGAGATTTCTCCCAGTTCAAGCATAATCACTTATTTAAGAGTGGACTCCTGATGTGGAGTAGATAGAAACCAATTTGATGCTAGTGTTTATTTTATGAGAATAATATTGTTGTTTCTGAATATAGATCGCTTGATTACAGAAACCTACTAGTATGTTATACTACTTGCCTGACTGTTTTTGTTCAAGTGTCTATCTTATGAATTATACTTTGTTAATTATTTCAAGAAGAAAAAGGGCTTAAAATTGAAATGTTGATACTACTACTGCATTTTTTCAAAGTTGCAGAAACTAGAAATCAGGGAGTGCAAAGAAATTTCCATCCATAATGTCTAGAGAAATTAAAAACTTATATTGTGGGACAGTTAAAGATGCTCCTGAACTAACATATATTGCGGGGAAATACCATCATGAGGATATTTCAGCAAAACAGAATCAACATGATGAGCTGCGCTTTGATCTCCCTACTTTGAAGCTCCTCTGCTTTGATCTCACACAACTCAATACCGACTGTCCAAAGCTGAAGCTATCATAAAGACCATTTATGTGATGAGAACCAAAGTATGAGAACTTGCATTGATTTTTTGGTGAGGAAAAAAAAAATACAAAAACAGAACTTGCATTGATTTCCCTGCTCTAGAAAGACTACATTTAGGGGGTTACCAAATCTTGTTATCTCTCAAGTCCATTAAATAGGATACTGATATTTGTTTTATGTTTAGTATCAGATGTTTCAATGATTTTATGGTTTGTGATCATGAAACACCACCAGACTCCACAACCATAAAGCTATGACTCTGTTTTCACGAGAATGTTATTTCTGAGATGCCAAAAATGACAAAGTGATAATCTAATTAAAGATCAACTTGTATGTGATTATTGATTTGATCACACTGTGATTCTCTTTACTTCTATTGGAATGTTGGTTGGATTAACCAAAAAATACTACAAGAAATTTCCTTCAATAAAAATAATATAAAAGAAGTTATTAGTGCATACACACTCTATCGTCTCTGTTTTGCATTTGCCATTTGAATTATCTGATCAATACACACACTCTCTTTTTTGAAGTTATTTTGTGATGAGCTGATTTATTTTAATTAGAAGTTTGCAGGAAACATTGTTTTTTGATGACGTTCTTTTACTATTTCCCCAAATAAGATTATATATTCAATTCGGCGTGTGTTAGTGGCAGCCAATCTCTAATACATAATTGTTTTCTTTCTGTCTCAATAAAGTCTACTAAAGGCCAATTTAAGGTTCCCTTCATATTTTTCTGATTAAATTTGAGTAGGTTTCTTATAACATGTTCACTTTCATATAACAAAGTCAGAAATCGTCTTCCAATGTAATGACTTCAGCTCTTTTTGCTCAGACCGATCAAGCTCTCAATGTTGCTGGGCTGCAAGAGATCGTTTATATGATAAAATTAGAAGAGGCCGTCCAAGTCAAGACTCACTCACAACTAAGCCTGTCTACGAATGATCCACGCACTCAATAAATCCGTTCTCATGTTCTTATCATCTTAAAAAGTGCCAAACCTATGTCCTTCCCCTGTTCTTGATAGGATATTGAAAATGGCATCGTACAAGTAAGTGAGGCAAATTCATCAAACACAAAAGGGCATTATGGTGACCTCAACGTCATGTGAGGATGACATCTTTAATTCTTTATATTGCATCCATAAAACCATTATTTTTGGTGAAAATAATTTTCTTACTTTTTTTTGGTGAAAATGTCAATTCATTCCATAAAACCAGAATGCTTACACGAATAGGAAGAGAAAGTGTTCCTCGACATTTATTATAAAATCTATACTGTGGAAAAGAAAAAAAAACATTTACAAAATATGTAATACGAAGGAAAATAGCTTATGCCAATCATATAATTTAGTCATTTTAGTGGTACGAATGTTCGCCCAAGACTAAGAGGTCAAGTTCGACTATATTTGTAACTCTAAGATTTCTCTCTTTCTAAGTTTCCATGCTTGAAAAGGTTCATAATATAGCACGTTTTGTTTGGAACATCAGTTTTTTTTTTACGCATCATATCCCCAATTAATTATAAAATTTTCACATTAATTAAACAAACTCTTCCAATTGATGACTTTTATTGAGGACAATTTTAATATTTTTCAAGAAATAACTATTTTCAGTTAACTTTCTCAGTTTATGTAAATTTTATTAATAAATGCTTATAAATAGTATCATAGGAGCATTTTTTATTTTCAACGGAAGATATTCATGATCTTAGTTACCAAAAGGTTGGAAAAAAAAAAAAGGACTATTGTTTAAAGAAGCAAGAGATATAAAGTTGACCCCCCCCCTTTTTTTTTAGTACAAGTGGCAAGGCCAGAGCCTCGTGAAAAGCTAAACTGAAGAGTCTAGAAAAACACTATCCTGTATCATATCTGCCAAAAGCCTGGATCGGCATCCTGGAGGAGGTTGATGTAGGAAAACAAAGTCTTCAAACATAGTGTTAGCTTGTTTTGCAAGAATATCAGCACACTGGATTGCTGTACGGGGAACATGTGTCCTGGTGATGTCCCAATCTGAGAAAATCATTTCTCTAACTTCTGTAATTTGAGTTCTGAGGGGATGATATAAACCTCCGTCGTTCATCACCATTGTTTGGGAACGTACGGTTTGGGGTGGGTGATGAGTCGGCAGAATTTGACTCCTTTTTTTTTTTTCATTTTTTACTATACTAGGAAGTGTTTAAATTCTTTATTTTACCTCATTTTCCACGTGTTTCCATGTCATATTAAAAAATATTTGAGGCATGAATGATTGAACTTATTTTCCCCCCAATTCTCGGAACAAGGCAAATATCTTAGATTATTTAGGATCACTTAACTACAGCTGATATACATAGATATATATATATATATATATATATATATTAATTGTTTACTTTTGAATATTAAGTTATTGAATTATTATTATTATTATTCAAACAACAAAGAAAACTCTGTTCACTTGCTTTAAAACAGAGCAAGGTAAGATCAATGCGAGATGTTTATATTATAAATTATTTAGTTAGACATTCAATTTAGTTATAAATATAAAATCACAATCCACTTTATCTTTTAAATTTATAATTTTATTTTCAAAATATCTTTATTAATTTTAAGGGTTCTTCAAAGGATAGTTTCAACACATGTGACTAAAGATGATATTTTAGTGTAGTCAACACACATTTTTCATAATTAATCAACTTAATTAATTTTTTTAATCTTTCCAAATTAATTATGTAGCTATTGTATTAAGGACAAGAGATAGTAGAATTTTTTATAGCACCTCTAGATGCAATGTCATTCATATTTTTATACATATAGCTATGTCATGTCTAATATTATTGAGTTAGTTTTGAGTAATATTATATCTGATTGGAAGTAATATTTTAGAATGTTAGATATGCCTTAAAAATTATTCTAGAGTGCTAGATACAGCTTAACTCTATATTAATATATTATTTTCATCTAACTTTTTGGGTTACATCTTACGCCGTGATAACTTGGCGTAAAGCTATAATAAAGACTAGAGATGGAAATGAAGGTGAAACTTTTTGAGAGAATAATTTGTTGCCTTGGCATGATTGTCATGAATGAAAATACATTCTAATTATTATGTTTAATTTATAGCGTGCTATACAGTTATTTTACAAGCAGTCTTGAAGAAGAAAATAGGAAAATTTATAGTAGAGGATCTAAAAATTATAATTATATTGAAAGAAAAAAATATTGCAAATTGACCACTTTACCCTCCTATTAATAATATCACAGTATTTCGTTTTGTTTTTTTATTTTCTTATTTTCCCTCAATGGGTCCCCACCTTTTTTTCTTTGGCCATCTACTCTTCGTCCCTTCCGAACCTTTATGCGTCTCCTTTTAGAAGGAGCGACGACTTGCCAGCAATGACCCTATTAAACTGCTGGCAGCCACTTCGCTTTAGGCAAGGACGCAGATGAGACGTATCAAAGAGATATGCTTTAACAATTTTTAATTTTATTTTTATTTAATATATATTATTTTCATAAAAACAAAGTTTATACTATATAATAATAAATTAAAATTAAAATTATTTATTGATATGAAAAATTTAATAAAGTGATTTATAAATAGTATAATTTTTTTACGTTATAAATAGAATTAGAAGAGTATTTTTCTGAATTATAATACTGTTTATAAGATAGAGGTAATGTATTTTTTATTCTTATTTATTATTAAATTTTTTATATGACCCTACAATTGTTCCATTTGTTTATTATTATAGGAAAAATGTTACTAAAATATAGAGTGCATATTAAACAGAATACAGCTCAAAAGTCATTAAATTTTAATACATGGTCAATCAGTTTTAAAATATAAAAGTGTCTTGTAAATAACATCGGGGAGTAATTATTGAGGTATCTAATTCCACATAGGACGGACATATAGGAAGACTTCGAAGTTGACTTGACTTTTTAAAAAGAAAAGAAGAGAAAATCATTTCATCTCTTTGAAACACAGTCATTCTATCAGTTTGCCTTTCATTACTCAAACAAAGTCTTCTTCACAACTTCATTGCTCCTTTTTTCCTAAGGTTTTGTTTGGTTGGAGAGTTGTTGAGGGGAAGGGAGAAGAGGGGACAAGTGTATTTGGTTAGGAAAAATAAAGGGAAGGGGAGGAGAGAAATTTGTCTTTTAGTGCTCTCCTCCCCTCTCCATGCTCCCCTCCAAATTTGGGGCTTTTTGGAAGGGAGAGAAATATTATGTCTAATATTAACCAAACTACCCATATTAATTTTTCAATATTTTAAGTTAGTCCATCTTATTAAAAATCTTTTTTTCACTTCTTTCTCTTTTTAGCCACTAATAATATTTGATAATGATAATATAAT